GTTTCCATCCAGTATCCTTGGTTTCCATCCAGTATTCTTGGTTTCCATCCAGTATCCTTGGTTTCCATCCAGTATTCTTGGTTTCCATCCAGTATTCTTGATTTCCATCAAGTATTCTTGTTTTCCATCCAGTATCCTTGGTTTTCATCTAGTTTTCTTGGTTTCCATCCAGTATCCTTGGTTTCCATCCAGTATTCAATTTGTTTCCATCCAGTATCCTTGGTTTCCATCCAATATTCTTGGTTTCCATCCAGTAATCTTGGTTTCCATCCAGTATCCTTGGTTTGCATACAGTATTCTTGGTTTCCATCCAGTCCCTTTGGTTTCCATCCAGTATCCTTGGTTTCCATCCAGTATTCTTGGTTTCCATCCAGTATTCTTGGTTTCCATCCAGTTTCCATAAAGTAACATTGATTTTACCCTCTGGAGTATACTATCTCAATATTAATAAAATTATACTAAACTCTAGATTTATAGATGAAAGTATCCGGAAAGGTTATCCATAAATACTCCTCAAAGTGTCGCAGAAAGAAATTATATTCTAGTGCTTTCAAACCTTTAATAGAATTCCAGATTTAAGGTCGGCCATAACTATCTTTTTAAGACTTTTCCACTTGTTGCAACTATTACAATATCAGGATGAAAATGGGAGGGTCGTCGTTGAAATATTTTACTCTAAAATGCCATTTTAACCTTTAAAATACCCCCCCCCCCCATTTATGAGGATTGTACCAGCTAGGAACACTTTTTAACACAATACAACGATTTTCAATAGGCTAAGCCAAAAGCCTAAACATACTTTTTTTAGAGACAACTTGTAAATATTTTTATATGTATATATAAAGATACTTTCATTAATATGAAATTGTGAGGCGCTAGTTACAAGATAAAATTTCTAGAAGAGAGTGGAAGGGATGCAAATTATGATTGGAAATGATTGTTTTTGATTAATTTATGTACTAAAATTCCATAAAAAAATTGATGTCTAATTATTTATCTGAAATGTAATTATGGAACATCTATGCAAGAGGAGGATAACTTGAATAAGTATTTCACAAGTTCTAATCAGATAAAATAATTTAGCATTTAGCATAATTTAGATTTTCAGTTGATCAATTAAAAACGGATATTTTGTAAAGCAAATCGTTTAAAAAATCTGACTTGATTTTTGTTTTGTTTAAAGGGACTGTAAGTATAATTTCAAGTGACCTTCCAACGGAATCCAGAAAGCCTTCGACTGATCAAGGATGCCAGATATATCCTTGTTAATCTACTGAAAAGCTTATAATAGTTTTAATTTGTTTGCAACCTGTTTTATGTTTGAGAAATATCAAAAGTTTAAATTACGCTTACAGTCTTTTTGATACGCTATTTTACTTAAATAGATTGACATTTCAAGATAAACTCATTGAAATAGCGAAGATACAGAATAATGGTTTGTGCCAAATTCTAACTTGAAAAAAAAATTTCTTTTGCATAATTGTGGATAGTTTGATAATGAGGCGATAGTTTAAATACAACGAAGTAAAAATGTTGGCACCCAAGTTTAATCGTGACTTACAGTATCTAACCCAGGTTTAATCGTGACCTACAGTATCTAACCCAAGTTTAATCGTGACTTACAGTATCTAACCCAGGTTTAATCGTGGCCTACAGTATCTAACCCAAGTTCAATCGTGACCTACAGTATCTAACCCAAGTTTGATCGTGACCTACAGTATCTAACCCAATTAAGTTTAATCGTGACCTACAGTATCTAACCCAAGTTTAATCGTGACCTACAGTATCTAACCCAAGTTTAATCGTGACCTACAGTATCTAACCCAAGTTTAATCGTGACCTACAGTATCTAACCTAAGTTTAATCGTGACCTACAGTATCTAACAACCTCTCGCCAATTCCAAGCATCTTTAAGGGTAAAAATGATAATTAACAGAACAAAGATAAAAACAATTATGAAATAATTAAAAATATTATGAAAAATGTACATAGATTACCCCAAACCAGATATGCAAACGATAGTTTTATAATGAAATGAAAACTTGGAATTCTATGTTTATTGATATGTTTTCTATTTAATTTTATTTATAAAGTTTGTATTAACATTTTGAACTTTAGTTAAAGTTTTTATATTATTTCCCTTTATGTCGGTCATATTGATTTTACTGAGAAAGTTAAAACTCTTTTATTTTCCCAACTTTTTATACAGTCTTTCATTAACACTGGACATAGCATAAGAATCCATG